TCATTTTGCTTATGCAGACACTGTTCTTCTTATTGAATGATTGTGGCCATAATAATGCCTCACTTACAATGCCACTTCCTGGTTTTATTTATTTAACAGCGTAAGCAAAGAATAGTCTGTGCTGCAGACATAATCTAACCTTGAATAGTAACCTAGCTATCACTGAGATCCTTGTTCTGGGCTTCCAACAGACTCAATGAATTATTAGAAGTGCATTTTGAATTTCCCTTCAACCTGATAGGCAAATCAAATGATGGCTGCTTTTTTAGTAGGCCAATCGTGGCATGTGCTCAAATCCTGGTACAAAGATGCAGTGGGCCTAGAACAAGGATTTCGGCACTGTTTTGCAGACATTGAGGTATGTGTGGAAAAGTGGTTAACACATTGAACTCTGGATCTGGAGGTCTGCGGTTCAAGCCTTGACTGTCAAGTTGTTTCCTTAGACAAGGAACTTTACTCCAATTGTGTCTCTTCACCAAGGTGTATAGGTACCCGCAACATACTACTGGGGGTACGGCTGCAATGGAGTAGCATCCCGTCCAGGGGGAAGTAGTAATACTCTTAGGCATGCTTCATGCTAAAGAAACCGGGATGAGATCTGGCTTTTTAGGGCCTTTGGCTCGTGTGCACCTTACCTTTTACCTTTACTGTGCAGACAGACTTAGCCAAATCAGAGGTTTAGTTTCATCTGTGGCACAGGCTAGCAAAGCATTGCTCTCAGTAAAAAAGAATTGCACGACAACTGCCCTTCAAAATGTGCTGCAGAAAATTATATTACCCAAAGTAAGTGGTAAAACAGCAGTTTACCTGTAATGCTGAAAAATAAAGCCTCCCCCAAAAATGCAGTAATCACTTTTTAATTTTACTGTAAACACGATGTAAGATATCAGGAGTTGTACACAGATAAAAAGGTGAGCTTTTGATTTGGATGGGATAACTGCATGTTCTTCTAAATCTTGGCTTGACTATTCAAGCAGACTTAAGTCTCTGCTTCTCTGTTAATGAAACCAGATCTTTGCAAGGTAAAAAGTACCCAGTTATAACACATGGTAATAAGTCTAAAAACAACCATGAAAATGTCTTGATGCAACTTTATGTTATTCATACCAATAAATCAGCAAAATCCAATAATGATAATGCCCAGTAATAATTGAAGGGCCCTCCTAAAAGGAAATGAGTGGGTCATAAAAAAGAAGCTAAAGTTTTACCTTGACACTCATTTGCATGGGTGGCATTAGCTGGCATCCAAGGACGATTATTAAACATTGGCTCACATATTTCACAATCATTTCCAGCAGTGTTATGCTCACAATCACAAGTCTCTTGCATGCGAGGTCCAGTACAGAACTGTGCATGCCCATTACAGTTACACCGTCCCGTAATTACAATATCTGAAATGGCATAATAGTATTTGTTGAGGTTTTCTTCAATTGGAAATAAACTTCCAAGGCCATCGGTAAATGGTTTTTCCAGTCTGATGCGCACATTTGTTGCAAGCATGAAATTCTGGATATCTTGATTGAAGTAACCACATCCTGGTTCATATCTTGCATCAAACCTGTACTCCACTTTTCCATATCTGGGAGGGTACTGTCCACTATAATCTTCAGTGCATGTTGCATTAAATAGACTGTTTTTATCGACAGGAGCTGTTCCAAGCATGTTGTATGACTTAGAACAATCAAAAGCAAAATATTGCAAAACTCTCCAAGTTTTTCCAAAGTCTTTAGACTTCTCCAAAAACATCTCAAATGGCCTTTCATTGTAAAATCTCACTTTTATACCACCAGATATGTGAAACCTTCTGCCAAATGACAGTGTTATGTTAACTTTTAAAGAATCATCCTTTGTGGAGAGGCCTTGTGTATTTGTTTCCCACCAAGTTTGAGACTGCCACCATGTTACTTCTCTGAGTGAATAAGGAGTGTCAAATTCATTGTTAACCATGAATTCTGGTGGATGCCGTTTGGTAGTGCTGTTTGCATCACACTCAAAGCACTGACGTCCTGGCCCTAG